GGGATGATTTAGTTGGGGTTGGTCCTGCTTTGAGCAGGGCTTTGGACTAGATGACCTCCTGAGGTCCCTTCAAACCCTAATCTTCTATGATTCTATGATAAGAATTTCTTTTGGAAGACAGTACTGAAATATGGGATAAAGAGAGAGAAGGGGCATATTCCCTTTTTCTATGTAGGATGTTAAAAAACAATTCTATCTTAAAAACACACCTCATCTTCAGTTTCTCCGCCTTTTATCTTTGGTTAGATGATCAATTTTTAAGCTAGAAATGTTTGCAAGCTCTGCTGGGGCCTTATCAAAGTTAGCTGAAGCTCCCGTGGGGGAGTTAAGCTTTCATTTTAAATATAAACCTCATTAAGGCCTCTGGGCTCAGTAGTGGTCTATGTGAAGATGATTTACACCAATGTAAATCTGTTAGCCTCATTGAAGTTGCTCCTTATTTACACAGTGTAAGTAAGAATAAAATCGAACCCTTGGTGTGCAGAATTCTTATGGTATCACTGTAATGCCTGCTTAAAAGCTCCGAGGGGAATAGCACGCACCAGAACCCACCTTCCAAAAAACAGCTGCTAGGTCACATTCTTGGGTGACTACCTGATGTGTCCCTTTAACTGTTTAACACAGCCAAGCCTTGTTAACACCACACACAACATGATGAACTAGGCTTGATTTCTGATAGCGAGACAAGTTCTAATTGATCAACTGTTGTGGTTGATTCTTCTGTGTGAGTCCAGTAGTTATTTCACATCCTGTTTTTAAGCATTTTCCTGTTTGTGCAGTGTTTCTCATACTCACTCCTGTAATCCTCTGTTTATCCCAAACAAGTGTCTACACTAAAAAGTTAGAGTCCTGTGGCACCTTTAAGACTAACAGATGTATTGGAGCATAAGCTTTCGTGGGTGAATGCCCACATGCATCCAACGAAGTGGGTATTCATCCACGAAAGCTTATGCTCCAATACATCTGTTAGTCTTAAAGGTGCCACAGGAGACTCTGTTGCTTTTTACAGATCCAGACTAACACGGCTACCCCTCTGATACTTGACTAAAATGTTAGGTTGACCCAGCTATGTTGCTCCGGGGTGTGATTGATGTAGTTAAGCTAACCTAACCTCTGTAGACAGCATTAGGTCAACAGAAGAATTCTTCCGTTGACCTAGCTAGCGCCTCACAGGAAGGTGGGTTAACTAGAGCCATAGGTGCTGGAAATGGCGGTGTGGCAGCACCCCCGGGCTTGAGGAGGTTTCCATCATATGCAGGGTTTACAGTTTGGTTCAGTGGCTCTCCGTACCCCCCACTGTACACATTGTGCCAGCTCCCCTGACTGCAGCAATGGGAGAACCCCTCCGTCACTGTAATAAGTGTCTACACTGAAGTACTACAGTGGCACAGCTGCAACGTTTCTAGTGAAGACACAGCCTAGGAAAGAAATGATTTTTCTTTCAAGCAAATTGACTACAGCTAGGAAAGCACTTAAAGGGAGTGTGCTGCAGGCTCTCTGCAAAACAATGGGTCACTGGGGGTGGACAAAAGGAAAACCTGAGACACAAGAGCTTCACAATAACAATGTGGAGCCTGTTTTCTTTAGTGTGCGGGAGCTATATTACAAGGGATCCTTTTTGAAGCGAGCTGTGCTTATAACACAAATCCACATGCTTTATCCTGTAGTTGATCAAGAAGCAGTTGGTGAGTTCCATCAAGGGATTGCAGAAACAGTATGTAACCTCCGATGCCGTTGTAACCAGTGACACTGACGATGCTAATGCCCTGTGCTGTGCACTAGAGGCTGTGTTTGTGCATGGACTGAAGGCGAAGTACATAAAAACAGAGGCTGGAGGAAAAGGGAAAAAAACATGTGGCCGTGCACCTCTTCCCCAGCCCGTCTTCTGGGGCTTGCTGAAAACCATCACGCACAGGTGAGGAGCTTCCATCTTACAGTCACTTACAGCCTGTTGATTCCTTGGTACATTTACGTATGTTAAAAGCCACGCAGTTCATGGAGCAGTCAGTAGACACATGGCCAACTCAAAAGGACTAACTGCCCCTCATCCCACCCTCTCTCCGAATACTTCGCCCCCACTGCCAGAAGCTTGAGGGAACACGGACCATGGAAGGGGTCTGGAAGATCAGCAGATTTGGGCTGTGTGGGACCAATGGGGGAAGCAAGTGCCAGAGTAAAGGGACTCCTTGGGACCATACCCTCTTCTCAGCTCCCAGATCTTAATCACTGAGCGCATCGCAGTTGTTGGGATGGGTCATAGGGAAGGAAGTGGCCCCTAAGGGTACGTCTACACTGCGATCAAAAACATGAGACTCAAAACCCAGGTCAGTTGACTCAGGCGGCAGGGCTAAAAATTGCAGTGTAGACATTTGGGCAGGAGAAACTCACCCATGCGGGGTCTCAAAACCCCGGCTCCAGCCTGAGCCTGAACTTCTACACTGCAGTTTAATAGCCCTGAAATCTGAGCCCAGCGAGCTCAAGTCAGCTGGCCTGGGCCCGCCGTGTATGTGCTTGAGAGTCTGATATTGCAGTGTAGACATCCCCTCAGGCTCAGTCTTCAATAAAAACAGTTCTGAGTCAGGAGAAACGCCCACAGCTTTAGCCCACTTTGCTCCATGGTTAAGGTCAGGGCCGGCCTCGCTCAGGGGTGCCATGGTCAAGGGGGTGCCATACAGCAGCACAGAGGAGCGTGCTGCTGGTGTAGAGTCAGAAACTGCTCCCGGCTGGCAGGGGAGCACTGCATTGGGGAGGTGGGGGGTGTTCCAGATTTCTCCCTGCTTCCTACAGGCAGAGGGACTTGGGGGTGTGGGGGGTGGCAGCAAGCGGTGCATCCAGGCACCCCCTGCCAAGCGCTCTATGCATCCAGGTCACTTCCCCCAGCTGGGCTCTGCTC